AATGACTTGAACATATTTCTTTACAAAATGACTTTTTCATATTTCTCAACCTGACAAAAAATTAGAAAAATCACTATGAATTCTGTAAAAAAATAAAGATATAAAAAAAATCCTTTCATAGAATTTTCTATATCTTTAATGTTTTGTAAAATTCAATGGTGAATTCAAAAATGAAAAAAAATATATGTCGGCGAGTTGGTTTTTCGGCCAAATGGCAGTTTCCATGGTAACCCAAAATCTCAAAAATTTCAAAATTGCCACATTTTCCTTATAAATCAATAAAAAAGTACAAGGCAACATAATATCAACAACAAATAGGACTTCATACATAAATATCTTTATATTTTGATGCTGTATTGATTCAGAACATATCTATTTCTCTACAAAATAAGTTTTTCATATTTCTTTACTAAACAAAAAAAAATTAGAAAACTGAACATGAATCCTGTAAATAAATAAAGATATCAAGAAATTTCTTTCATAGAATTTTTTATTTTTTTAATATATTATGTGAAATTCAATGGTGAATTCAAAAATAAAAAGAAAAATATATGTTGACGTGTTAGATTGTTTGTAAATTGACAGTTTTCATGGTAACGGCAAATACCAATTATGTCAAAATAAGCATGCTTTCTTAAAAACAATAAATTGTACCAAATGCATTGTTATATAATTACAAACTTATTACAAATGACCTTTTCTTTTGATGTTATATGAAGTGAATCTGAACATTATTTTTTAAACAAGTCTACCATATTTATTTCTTTTAAAAGTATCTCGACAATAAAATCATAACAAAAGTAAGTATTCCACAAGAAATGAAAATACTTGAACATTACTTTCAAAAATTCATATAGTTACTATGTTCTAATGGTCATTCTTTAAATGCATTATTCAAAATAAAATACTATTAAACTCTTTTGGTACAGACATACCTTTTTCTAGTTTCCATAGTAATCGTTCCAATAATAATACAAAAAGTAGCAAATTAAAAAAAAGAAACTTTTCAAGAACACTGCTTGAAATAATCATGTTTAGTTTAGTACATATTTCTAGACAATTTGTGTTTAAAATTACCTCTGAATAACAACAACCTTGTCAATAACATCAATGAAAAGATAAACTGTGATGGTGATAGGTAATGAAAATAAATTATTGGAATAATTTGTCCACATTTTGCAGTTATGTTGATAATAACTTTGTTCAACTGTTTATTTTATTGTAACCACATGTATATTTTGCGTTAAATGTTCACATAGATTTGAGATGTTTATAGGTTCAAATCAGAAGTCGGACATAAATAACTGAACACACTGTCTATTATTGTCTTCTCAGAGGTAACCCTCACTTTTCCATTTACTTTCTCCGTAAATGATTTGTATAAACCATCGTAACTTCCACGATTTACTGCCAGTCTCAGATGTGCTAACGACAAACCACTTTTGGCTATTTTCATTGCCATTTGTTTACTTACAACTTTTTCCTGTTGCATATTACTTAGAGATACCAAGTTTACATCAGCTTTCTTTTCAAATATGTATGTGTCTATTGCTGCATCCATTGTTATACTATGACAGCACATCTGGTCAAAGGGTATTTCAGTAAATATGAGAAGTTTCTGTAAACTACACACACATCTTCAAGGGCATTATGAGCAGAATATTGAGCATTCATTAAATTCTTTACAAGATATTCTTGACTATATTTATCTAAACCTGGAAATTGTTCTTTACACAAAGGCAGAGTATCAACAAAACCTATTACACAGTTTTGAAAAGAGGTTAATAAATTACATAGTTCAAATGACCCTACTAGCCTTGGGAAGTCAAAAATTCTAAAATTATGACCTATCAATACACATGGATTTCTTTTTTCTAACCAAACTAAACACTGTTCCAAGGCTGTTCTTAGAGACACTGCATGTACTGGCTTTCCTTTGTAGCACAGCATATTATTTACCACTGTCAATCCAGTCACCTGTGTTGCTCCAAGAGTTATGGGTTGAGTTGGAAGAATATACTGGTTGAAGTTGTCTTTCCCTGACACAAGCGGCTATTTGTGTTATATCGCATGATTTATAAAGACTTGTTGTCTCAATATCACAATAAACATGTGAAACAGTCAGTGTTGGTTTCTATTTTTTTTTTGCTCTGTAGCTGAAATTGGTTTTGGTATTTCAATAATATCAGTTTCATTGTTACCTATTAAGTCGATTGATGATTGATAAAGTTACACCTTCTCTTAACTCGTTTTGTGCGTTTTGTTTACTTTTGTTCATTTTTTTTCAATTTTTCTTTTTTTTAAAAGTAAGCGTATTTTTTCAAATTCTAAACGACTTTTTCGTTTATTATCCTTTCGTTCAGCATGTTTTTGAATAGAATTTTCCTGGAGATATACCAATTGATTTGTTCACCTGGGAAACATATGTTGAGCCTAATTTTTTTTTTCTGCAACAACACAATTAACTCTGTTCTGTAAGCTACTTGTTGAAGAATAATGGCAACGTTTTGGTGCTTTTGATGCTATCATATTGTTGAAAGACTCTACATCTTTTGTCGATGCTGCTGGTGATATTTTATCAACATTTTTTATGAAACTTTCAAAAATTGAGCTTAAATCTGTACGGAGCTCCTCACCGACTAAGTCTCGACCATAAGGCAAAGAACTGTGTTTGTATTTCTCTGGATCATTAATGTAACCACACCAAGTATCACTGCAATTTTCATGTAATCCGAAAGCATGTGGAGCAATTTGATTCAATGCTTTTGCAAGCCCCTCAGAATTGTTTTTATTCTGGGCTACTGCATAGCTGAAACATTTTTGAATATATTGAATTACTTTTGTTGTTAGGCACTTGTGTTTTTTGCAACGCATAAAGGTTGTTGTCAAGATGCTTTCTTGTGTGATTCATATCACTCCACTTGACAAATGAATGGTTAAGCGTTTCTCGAAGCTTACTAGCAGTTGTTGTGTCATCATCCATTATCAATACACCCATTGTACGTTTTTATTTTGTTCAATGTTCATTAAAACTTGGGCAGCAACATCTGGTTCCATAGATTTTGAAGACCCATCCCAATTTTTTGCTACACTTGTGGTCAGGTGGAAACTGCCCTTTGTTTATATGGTAAGTACATTTTCTGCAGTCTTTGGACCGAACACCAAACCCACATACTTTTCCAGATAAATTTCCTCTCATTGTTCCCGACACCAGATTTACTGTCGTATGCACGACCGGCTCCACGCTTTTGCCATCCCATATCATACTTAAACTGAACCCATCACTGGAGTGGCAACATCACATTCTCCAGGGCTTTAAAAGAAAGGCATCAAATTATTTAAATGATTTTCAGTAGATAGTAGAATTACAATTTATGGTTATATTTTGAAGTTATCAAGATATAATTTCAATGTAATAAACCAAACTATATTTTAATGCGAATGAATTAAATTGAATTTATAATTAATGAATGGAAATTTCCTTAGAAGAACACACTTTTAAAAACAGATTTTTATGATTATGGGGAACACATAAAGCTTTGTAAATATTATGTCAAAAATGAAATGTTATTTAAGAAATGGCACAGAACATGTTTTTTTAATATAAACCTTATGATTTCATGATGTCACCAAAATGAATGCAATGTTACATGGCAAAGTTGCTTAAATCACTAAACACCACCAAACTCAAGGCTAATATTTGGATATTTACAATTCAGACCTTGACAATACATTTTTGATGTTCATTTTATTAATCATCACTTATTTTCAGCTAAATTTAAACTTTAAACTATTGTGAAAGGAACTATGTAGATGTCTTTCTTGATATTATAGTTTTCATTTAGAATATTAAATATTATTCTTTTAAACAATTCCTTTTAATATCAGAACAATTAACATGATTTGTGGTATTCATTGTGAATCATGAGCTTTGAATCACAACCTGGACCATCACATAACATTAAATAATATAATTCAATCTTGGACAATTTTACCTGTCATTTTCTTTCTTGAAGTTCTATTTCTTCATGTATAGCATCGACCTACGACAAACATTTTCAATATGAGGTTCAACTTCAAGTTCCCGTTTCTTCATTGATGTGTGATGGAGGCCTTCAATTTCCAGAGCTGACATAAAATTTTCTACTTGTGTATGACCTGAACCACTGTGCATCATTCCTGTGAACATTGAAATTACATGTTAATTAAATATGTCATTATTTGCCAATAAACTGAAACTGAATTATGTGCAAATTTATATTCACATTAATGCATACTATGTCTTCTCTCAATAATTTTAACACTTTAGAAATAAAATGTTTATTACTCATAAATACGACAGATAGCGTTTTTGTAGAATTTACAAGTACTGTATGTTACTTTCCAACTTCAATCCAATTTCATTTAAAAATTAATTATAAATTACTTAAAAAATTATTGATCAATGCAAAACAATCATATTACAAGTACTTAGGTAGAAGGGGGTGGGGGAGTGTTGCCAAAGTCCAATAGCTGAAGAGAGATGTTACATCACTTAAAAGAATGACATTAAAGCACATTAATTGTCTAGGAAATAAAGGAAAATAATAATTGAAAATGATATTTGATAAGAATATCTTTTAGTAAGACAAATCATTTTCCTTATAAAGAATGTAATTCAAAATAATTGAATATAGGACTGATAGACAGCACTATAAAAAGGAAATGTGAGCAGAAAGACTAAAGCTGTGACTAAACATTATCCTTGCCAATTATTTATTTATTATATTTAATACACATAAATTTTGTAATTTACAAAATTAAAAGTATTTTGATTTAGATGTATAAATGAGGAAAACGTTCAATTGACACACTTCAATTTTAAATGTAACCGGAAATAAACAGAATTTTGGGTCTTTAAACACATAAAAATGAAATTTTGTTTATAAATTTCCATTTTACATCAAAATTGTTATAAACCCTGATCAGTCGTTCTAAAGTGTTATGCCTTGAACAGTGTAGACCAATATCACACAATGACAAATGAGTAATGATGTTTTAGTCTATAAATATATATACAAGTAGCAGAAAATATCTAGTGTTATCTATAGCAGGTTACAGTTGTGTTAGACTTAGAGGTTAGGTATATATAAAAATATCAATTTCCATCACCACATCAGTACAAGCTATGAAGACAACACTTACACTTACATTTTGATAATCCTTCAAAACAAGTTGCTGCAAAATAATGTATGTGTCAATACAGCAAATTAATATCATCTTTAAACATTTAGGTACCATAATCCTATTACAGATTACAAGTCAAGTAATGGTTACCCAGAATTTATAAAAAAGAGGAACTTTGTTGCTGGTCCCTAATAGATTTCTCAACTGCCTGGTAATTAATGACATAAATATGTTGCTTTTAATTTACTTTCAAGTGGAAAAATAACTTTATAACACAAGATCGGCAGAATCTGTTACCATTTTCACACCTCTTCATGAAATTTACAAAAATTATGTTTGCCAATCCTGGTTTTTCACCACAGTTACATATGTGGTGACCGCTCAGAATGTATAAAGATGGGGGTAGTGTAGTACTCAAAATTTAAGACATAAATCAGTGTAGACTATGTTGTTTGCTTGCCATTATTTGTTAAAACCCCAGTAGGATCTCAACATTATTTACTTGGCTTAAAAAATTGTAAATTAATTTAGTTAATTTTTTTTTTAATTTTGATTTGAATTAAAATTGAATATTGTGTATGTACATACCAAGGGCCGCTTTAGTATTTACATCAAATACAGCTGGTCCCCGTTTTCCAGTACGATGTGTCTTGCCAGTTGTTACTTCTCTACATGATCCACACTCGCATTCAATCATTAGCAATGACCCAAAGCCATATCTTGTCTCGTTAACTATATTTTCTAGAAGAATAGACTTTCTGCAGTCTACACAATAAAGTTGCTTGGCTAAATGCGTCAATTCAACAATGCGTCGACCAGAAGTGTCGACTGGGTCTATTTTAACAACATCTGTCTGCTTGACAAAACAATCGCTACTTGTACTAGTGGGTGGGGTAACGGCTAATGAATCGGAATCAGTGTCGTTTAACTCAGGCTTATCATATACCTGTCCCTGATGTGTCCGGTATTGCCGTAACGATTCCGTTATCCGTCTAGCACGTTCTATGTTGGACCTTTTAGCAAAAGTTCCTTTGATTCGGTATAGTTTATTCATCATTCAATAATTGGAAACGGTTATCCGAATATCGTTCCACTTCCCTTCTTTTGAAGAGTAACTAGCCGTGATTATCTTCCTTGGATGCGCAATAAATTGCGCAGAAAAAACTACCGAAAACGTCTTTAAGTAGCTTAATAATTTTGAACGCTTTATTTCTTTCTTCCTTTCTCGGTTGTTTTACCAGATCCACTTTTTAAGCTTACGCTTAGATAAATGCCCATGTAGTATTTTCTTATGCTTAACTTATCAAGCAATGTTCAAATGATAAAGAACATACAATTAAAACACACTTTCCTTTAAATTTAACTGAAACTATTAATTAAAGACGTCAAAACACGTCTATATGAGTAAACCTTTTACCTCATATCGACGTGTTTTGATGGCCTTTCAACCTCCCCCCCCCCCCCCCCTTGAGGCCTGAAACATTGAAAATATACAAAATCGCAAAGACAAATGTGGACATGTTACATGTTAAAATTTGCCTCATGTCGATCTTAAGGTAATGTGTCACCATCGCTGACTCTATTTCAATTCATTGAGAAGTTGCATCACTTTGAAATCAGTTTTGATGAAAAAAAAATGCAAAAAAGCCCGTCGTTGCCATGGTAACAGGAAATATAAGATTGATAATGCTGTTACAGACGTTATGGTCCATTGTGTGCACACATGTTCTTTATATATATTTGTCAGGCATTTAAATTTGCGGTATACAATTGTCAATGAGTTTATAACTTAACAGTAAATAAACAATGAATAAGAAACAGGATGTATAAAGTGACTTGAAAATCGAGAAACTAGGTCCTTGTTAACTAGCAATTAAAGCATAAGTGTGATGTTGGTTCAAACTTTACGTGTAACAATCTTTTCTTTTTGTGGACGCAAGCCCCCGATGTAATTACATTAAGTCAGTTTACTACCATTTGTTTATCTGTTCTGTAAGCTATCTGCGCATAGCAAAATAGTTCCAAGACTATGCCATGATAATATTCAATGAAATAGCACGGTTATTAAACAAATCTTAACCATCTAACTTTTCTAGAAAAGGAAGTTTGAAAATTTCTATTAATTGTTGGTAGTGAAAAGTTAAATACAAAGAGGATATTGAAGTTTGATTATAAATACAGGATATATTTTAATTGAGTGATATGAAAATAAATATTTCTCGAGTTGCCTTAGACACAATTGAATTATGACATTTTTTATACCATTCATACCATAAAAAAATAAACCCTGTCCTGTATTTATAGAAAAGAACTCTTTTGTGTATAATATGCCTTTTCTCGTCTTTATTTTTGCCCTACAGGTCATAAGATTTCCCCTCTACTTTTGTGTATTGGCTGAACTGAACTTTGCCCTGCTGAAGCCGAAAGTGCTTTGTCTTTCCACCATGTGGTGTATAGACTAAGCTTTATACTTTTCGCTGAACAACTTCAAATTCTCACCGTGATATACCTAAAATTGATAAAGGACTTTCCAAAATGCAAATATTGGAAAAGTCCTTTGAGAAATTTAGCAGGTTAAGAAGTGAAAATATGCAAAATTTGCAGTGAAAAACGTATTCACAGTGAAAACATGGAAAATGAAAATGTACATTTAACTTCATCAATATTTCGAAATATTTAAGTGAAAAGTACAGTTATATAATAAAAAAATATTGAATAAATTAGGAAAGTATTTTTTTCAGATGTGTGATGAAAGGCTATTTAAAGGCTGAATTATCGAATCATATTTGTTTTCTTTGAGTTTCTTCTCAGTTACTAATTTTGTCTCCTTATGTATGATTAACATGCCCATGCTCTGCCTTGTGCCCTGTCTTGTTTTTGTTTGGGGTCCTCCTGAGCTCCTTGCCACTGGCTCTTGTTGCTGGATTGTGTGTGGGTTGCGTTCATTGAACGCTGCCTTTCCTTGTTGATCTTGTTTATCAAATTTTACAAGTGTGTTAAATTTTAATTGTGACACAGTTACTGTTAAATGTTTGCAAACTGTATACATGTCATTTTTTGCACAGGTAATTACATGTAAGTTTTTTTTGACAGTGATATATTTCTTTGCAAGTGGGAAATATTGAATTTCACTTTTATGATTCTGTATTTATCTATTTTATGACGTTAGTTTTAAACAAATTTGGCTAATATTATGGTATCTCTTTTGGAAAGAAACAATTTTAGACAATCTTTTATCACTACTTGATGTAATGGGGTTCAATAGTCAAACCGATTTTCCATTTTGCATTTACCCTGTGTTTGTCCATTTTTCTTGCAAATTTTCTATTTCAGGAGAAAAATGTCAGATTAGTGAATGTGAATGGAAGAGGATCCATTTTGAGAATGCTTCGCGGTCAGTGTAGATGGAATCTAGAGATACAAGTACAAATGTTGCTGCAATGCAGCAATTGAGAAGCTCCGCGCAAAAAATGTGCTCCTTACAGATACCTTACCAAATTATTCCTACGCACAGGTCATGTTATATTCATATTAAGTACTATTATAGATTTTTTCCGAATGGTTTGTAAACCATTTGTTGCATAATTATACTTATCTTATGCACTGTCCATAATTAAAAAGAGGGGAAAGATATTTAATATAAAAAAATGCTTTCGCTGATGCCTACCTTGTAAGGAAAGTAATTCCATTGAATACAAACAAGACTTACAAGACTTGTAAATGTTATGTGACATGACTGTACTATGTTCTGTTTATGTCACTAATGTAGTCAGTAACATAAGATGATAAAAATATCAAAGTCTGTTTTTTTTTATTATTATAATTGTAACAAATATACAAATAGTAACAAAAGGGACTAATATTATAATATACTGATATAACATGCATTTTTTCATGTCAAATTAAAAAAAATGGTCTCTTTCAATACTGAAAGTAGAACACACTCTGGAATGAAAAGAAATGGATGAATTTCAAAAAGACCAAATTCAGGATTTTTTTGTTTGTTATACACGCGTTACATGGTGATACAGTATTTATTGATATAATAGAAGACTGTTATCTGAATTTCAGGCAGGTATGAGGAAATTCACTAACATCATGTTCGTGCGAGTCAAAGATATAGAAGCTATTTGACATTGGTGATATATATATAAACAAGAAAAATATTACATACATTCGTATGTAATATAGGTACGATTGCATACTACTTTTTGTTGTAATGTAAAATGAACAAACATGTCATAAGATATTTTATATCTTTAAACATTTTCATAGAAGGTAATTAAAAAACCCGAAAGACACAGTTTGTAAATATTTATTACAATAAAATATGAAAAAGGTATACGCGCTGAGGTTAGCTATAATTAAAATTCCCGCGCTAATTAAGTCGCGGTGGTGCTTGGGATAATCACTTGATACTGTAAATGGCAGCCATTTTACGATACGAATCCTCGAAAACTTTATTCTGCCGAAAAGATATGAAAAAATACTTGCAATTCAAAGTTTGCTGGCTACATAAAGATTATCGATTTACTCTTTGCACACTTTTTCTCTGCCTGAGTATAATAATATTGACGTGTTTTCATTGGCTTAAACCATCACGTTACCAATACACATGTAGGTGTGAACTAATTTCGTGTTCATTAAAATTATTCCGTTAATAGACATATAACAATCTTATTTACAAATGAATTGATAAAACAACAATCCCAGAAGCATTTAAGATAATAACAATCATTGGAAAAAAAATAAATGCATATAAATTGTAAATTTGTGTATGACAACTTAACCCCCTAAACAAAACATAATAGACTCAACCAAAACAAGCGCCTGCTTCTTCACCTAACTATGTAGTTGCATGACCATGATTAGCAATTTAGCGAACCAAATTAAGAGATAAACCTATTGTAAAAATAATACTATGACCACAGCAAATTTCGTACAGAAAAATCTGTTGTTAATTGATTTATTTAGAGATCAATCTGCTTTATTGTTGAATTGCTTTAAAACCGTTCATAAAAAACATTACATTTCATGTTCAAAATGCAGATCAAATCAATGATGCTATCTATCTATAGCCTATGCTTAATGTGGGTCCATCCGCTCGTAAGGCCACAAAATACAGGTTTCGCTGTGGCATACCCTTCGGAGGATGAGCTATTTTTTACGGACGCGGACAGTCACGGACAGGTCGCGTCACGACAAAATGCCTCGAACGAAATATTTTATCGATTTCGAAAGAAAATACTAAAAAGCTCACCAAAATAGTGTTGGAGAACCCATAAGTTTATGATGCACCAATGACAGATTAAAACAACAACATCTGGTCTTCGGTTGCTAAAGAGATGTTATTCAAAAACCTAACTGGTATTCAATCTTTTTCCTTTTTCTTTTTTACCTAATTCTTTGATGTTACAACTGGTTTTGGTATTTGAATGAAATTATATCATTTCTACAAATAATTATCCTCTGTTCGCTATACTATAAGAAAATAACGTACATATGGATTAATACTCACGGACATGCACCGGACACGGATCCGGGTCTCGTACCATTGGAATAGCGGCCAAATGAGTTATTTTTGAAGCACAAAGTGGTGTGCTGTATCACTGTCGCCAATGAAATGTAACTTTATATACTAAAGTTTAATTATTTCAAAACAACCAATATATCAACATGTTATTATCAAACATTTAATTTCATAAATATAAATTAAGAATAATTATCAAAAGCAAAATTATTAAAGTTTTATTCATGAAATCTTCTTTATATTGACAAATTCAATCATTAATAGTATACTTGATATGCTGTGTGTAAATTAATTCAAAATGTAACAAATTATAATTTCATGTACTACTAAAAAAAGGGAAATAACAAATGTATAACCTAAGTTAAAAATCAGAACATTTAGAGCTATTTATAGCTTTCGAATTCATGTACAGCAGAACTGCTTACCTGTTCTGATTCATTAATATGACATGTTGCGAATCACCGAAGGGGAAACCAATATAGAAATCGAAAGGAGTTCTTGAATGCGGATTTACTTTTAGCTGTAAATCGAAGGGATTAAATGATCAAATCCGGGCCCATGGACAAAAAAAATAGTAAACACAAATAGCTCCGCGCCTGTGGGCGCGGAGCAATAAAGGCTAAAATGTGAGACTGTCACTATGACTA